AGATGTAGATTGATCCACTTTATTATCCATGGATGGCAGAAGACCCTGCACATGGCGTGAAAAAGACTCAGATGGAGGCACGGAAAGGTCCGTCTGCACTCCCACTGTAGCACTGGAGCGTAGTGCAGAGGCATATGTCTGCGATGTAGAAGGGAACAATAGCTTCCGAGCCTCAGGATAAGATATGTTATTAATAGTCTTCAAACGCTGTACCTCTTTTTCCTCCACCCACTTAGGGCAAGACCTAAAGTAGGAAAGGTGGGAACCACTACATTTAACACAGTGAGGGTCCATTTTGCACTCGTAAGAGTCATGGTCCTTGCCACCACAACGAGCACACGTCACAGAACCACGACAAGATGTCTTTGAGTGACCGAACCTCTGACACTGAAAACATTGGAGAGGGTTGGGAATATAGGGCCGTACCTTACAGTTCAAATAACCTGCCTTAATGGCGGCAGGTGGACGTGGTGATGAAAACGTCAAAATTAAAACTGAGGTCGGCACCATAATGCCATCTTGACGAGTGGAGATCCTTTGAACTTGGAGATCCTTGCTGGTTTCTCCAATCAAGGAGTTTCGGCGAGGAGTTATCGTTGAGAGGGATTTGAAATCTATCCCCGAGACCTTCCTTGAATTCCTCACCATGGGGAGTAACCTCAATGGTTTCTTTCTATAATGACTACATATTATCACTGTATTCTTACTGCCAAAAGTTATGCAAATTTAATCCTTTTTTCTTCTGAAGAAATAACTATATACAGTTTGGCAGAGCATGGAAATGCACTATATGGGTGGTCATCTTTAATCATCAAAGTTGCAATTTAAAAGGTGCAGTAATCTTGGGATTGCTTTTTAAATTTGTTTTCATTTCAAGGCAAATATAAATAAATAATTTTATCATTTTACCAGATTTACACGTTACTATTGGGTCAATCTATAAATACTGCAACTTTTAATCTAATAAGTGTATCTTCATGAAATTTAACAAACTTTTAATACACAAGTCTTTTGTACATCAAAAATTAGATTTTTAATTTAAGTATTTCTACTAAGGATTTATCTGCAAATTTATGGAGTTAAAGTTTGATTCAGACTTATCTGAGTACAATGAAACTTATGTTGAGATTAAAAATACTTTTTTCATTACCAGTTTTCATCTTTCATTAGCTTAACCTCTAGAACCTCCTACATGAATGTCAAAAGTTGTTTTTCATTAAAACTTTACATTTCATCTGTTATATACTATACTCTAACACTGTATACAGGCTCAGTCCATGTCACTGACCTTGTAATCATCACAGAAAGATAGAAATAAATCTAAATTACCCCCCTTTTTTTTTCTATAATGACTACATATTATCACAGACAATTACACACTATTTATTCTTACTGCCAAAAGTTATGCAAATTTAATCTCCCAGCCATTCAGATTTATTGCTTTACTGCCACTTAAGTTAGCACCAAAGAAGAAAGCTGAGGATTGTTACAGTACTAGGATCATTGTGCTTTTTGATTTACAAAAATGACATGGATGAATGAATGGTCAATAAATTACTTAAATTTCCTGATGATGTTAAGGTTTTTGGTGTTGCTAACTGTAAAGAGGATGTTGTTGCTATACAAAAGGATTTAGATCATTTAGTGATTTGGGCAAATAAATGACAAAGGGCCTTTAATTATAATAACTGCAAGATAATGCATGTGGGATATCATAATTTGAATTATGAGCATAATTTTGATGGGAATAACCTTTAGTGTTATGGAAGAAAAGGATCTTTGTGTTCTGATTTATCAGTCTCATAAGCCATTCAAACAGTATTCTGTTGCTATTGGTATGGCATTTCAATTTTAGTTTGTATATACCAAAATACTGTATACGAATCTATAAAGATCATAATTTTGTTACGTAGGCAGCTGGTCAGGCCACATTTGTAGTATTGTGTTTAATTTTGGGATCCTTAACCTAGAAAAGACACTGAATTCTTGGAAAGGGTTTAGAAAAAGCTTCTGAGATAATACGCAGGATGAAAAGAGAAAAGGAGAAGTTAAGATCTCTAAAGTTGTTTTCTCTTGAAAAATGAAGAGTAAGAGGGGGATTTGATTCAGGTGTTCATAATTTAAAAAAAAATGAAAATGATGATGTATAATCTTTTTGTGTACTTAATGGTGGGAATGGTAGAACTAGGAGACACAAATATAAATCTTGGCATGGTAGCAGTCATCTTCAGCTAAGACAGTTTTATTTTTCTAACAGTGTAGTTGGCCTTTGGAATAGGTTGCTTTCAGATGTTTTGGACACAGTAAATGCAAAAGAAGGTTTGATAAACATTTGAATGATAAGGGCTGACTTTAAGGTTTCTTGTTTGTTTGTTTTTATACTTTGGTGGATGGAACAACCTAGATGGACTAATAGGCTTCTTGTTCTCCTTAAATGTAATGTGATACGAAATACTGTTACTGTTAAAGAATTACTGAGCAGTTGTAATGGAAAAAAGGTCTGAGCAAGTTTAAAATAAGATGAACAAATTTTCACGTAACAAATATATGAATAATTATAAACTAAATAAGTTATTTTCTACTTACATTGGGCAGAGCTTCAAAAAACGGTCCCAATACAAGCAAGACTATTAACACTAAACCACAGGACACCAAACTAGTAATCTGTAAGTAATAAATCAAGTTTACTAAGAATAACATTATTAACAAAACATTTCAATTCCATGTGATATAAGTTACTAAATCTACAGTCACTCAACTATTGTCTTTTAACAAATCCACTGAAGCAGTGATCTTATAAACTTTAAAGCAAATGACATCTCAAATGAAAAAAAAAAATCATAAGGTGAAGTTCATAATCATATATAAAGTGAAGCATGACTTGTACAAGTAAAAGTGAGATACTGTACATGATAATAAGACAAATACAAAACAGATAAACTTGTAACATGATGCAGAGTAATAGATACATCAAACATTTAAAGACAAAACAAAAACGATTCAACAAAAAACATATAAATAATATAAACAGAAAAATAATATACAAGTATCATACAATGAATATTATTTAAAGCATCAATCAAACAGAACCACAAATCTAAAACTATTTTAAGCAAGTATATGAAATAAAATGTGATGTTAAAACAGCATACCATATAGAAAAATGAAAAAATAAAAGCTATGAAACATTACAGAGGCAAAGGAATGGAAGAAGTTATTCAGAGAAAAAAGCATAAAATTAACATATACACAGGCAAGTTTTGATAAAACTTTAAATTTTCTGCACCTGAGACTTAGCTCCTGTTGCATCTTGTACTGCACTTCTTGACAGTGACACAGAACTTGGAAAACAGAAGAAAAAGGACGAGAAAATATTGGCTACTCCATAAGCCAATAGTTCCTAAAAATATAGTAACAGCAGATCATTATCCCTAAAACTACAGAAACTTCTACTAAAAGGTAACCTAATGCTTATTACAAAAACCACATCTATACTTCTACAATTGATGACTTTTAGTTGTATTCATTAAAATAGGGCAAATTTGGGAAAGTTAGGAAATAACGATCAGGAAATTATCAAAAGTTGTATGAAATTCAAATATGATGTCTAACTCCTGATTTCATAAATATTAAATCCATTATTACAGAATGTTAATTACACTTTATAAAAAAAATGTACATATATTAATGCAGTGGTTTTAACCAGGGTCAGGAATTTGCAAAATTTCTAGTTGGTCCTTCTAAAAAAAAACTCTTAACTGGTCCTTATCAGGTTTAATTGATCCACTTCAAGGACATGCGAGTATATATATACTAACTCTATTTTATCAACTGCAAATAAGTATGTGCATATATGCGTGTATCGTTAACCCTTTCCATACGGGTCACAGATGAAAGGCCATGTCATCTCATTTGTTGACTTACATACAAAATTTTTATTGAACTACTATTACATGAACTTATGTCAATATTTTTTAGACCCATATACAGCTCAATTACTACTTTTGATAAATTATAGTAGAATTCTATGGTATTAATGTAGTGATTTATGATTTTGTAGTTATTCAAAAATATATATAAAACCTAAAAAAATATTTTGTTTCATGTCCTCCACGTGCAAAATTTTTAAAGGCTTAGCAACCTACATCAAGCAGCAACCAAGTACAAAGGTTGTAACTAGAAAAGATAATAGTTTGCTTTACTTCTTTAGTTACTGTTCTATGCTTTAAGAAAAATAAATCTAAAAACTTATTTCAAAATAGCAATAATTTATATACATATATAATGTATATTATTTGAAATTTGACTGTATTTAATAAAATACTAGTCTGCTAAAACACAGCCAAGACAAGTTACTTTGTATAGACCAAAGGTCACCTTTATGTTATTTGATATGGTAACATGAGTGCATGTGAGCCACATCGTTGTGACTTCTGTATTGTTAGGCAGGCACAGGTGAAAAAGCAATATAATAAAAATAATAAGTAAATGTATAATGTTATGAGATTTAATCTATTTCGTCTAAACATTTATGTTTTCGTGTTCATTCTAGAATGAA